AAACTCAAATCCTAATTTTCAGTCATCAGTGCTTGAGGGGTGTCTTGAGCTGGTCAAACCCTAGTGCAATCTTGAGCCCAAGGAGATTTTGTGAGCAAATTCTTGATAAGTTGAGAGGGAAAATTTTGGGGTACAACACTAATTCTTCCATTTGTTTATCAAAAAACCTTATCTTACATTCTAGGGATAAACACATTGAAATCAAACATCATTTCATTAGAGATTATGTCCAGAAGGGTGTTCTTTCTTTAAAATTTGTCGATATTGACCATAAGTGGACTGGCATCTTTATAAAACTCCTTAATGAAGATATACATACTTGTTTTCATTCTAAAGCATTTAAACATGGTTCCATGTCCAGAATGAAAAAGGTGTTAAATCAATTTGTTAAAGCTCCAAATGTAATATAGGCATCTAAGGCTTATTGTGTAGATTTCTAAAACATGTGACTTTTGACTAAGTGAAGTCTTCATGAATCAGATGTACTCGTGAATCATCTATTCTCCAAATAGATTATCTCTATGAATACTAAAGAGCTCACCTTATCAAAATGGTTACTAAACAAGTTAAAAGGAATTCTATTAGGATAAAAGGTTGTTGTCGTTTTCGAATCTCCTTGCGCTTATGGTGACATCTTGAGAGACATAACATTCTTGGAAATATATCTAAATCAACTTGCTTTACCCTATGTTAGCAATATTTTTTCCTGTCTTGTCAGTATGCTCTTGGCATATCTTTTGCGTGATACGCTTCTTTGGTTTATATATATATATATATATATATATATATATATATATATATATATATATATATATATATGTGTGTGACCCATTTTTTAATTATATATTAGTGTCGTTACTCATCTTCCACCTTTGCTCATCATTTCTGGAAGATATAGTTAACCAGGTGTCACCTACGCCGCTCATCATTCATGTTTAAATCATTAAAATTTGCTTCTTTTGTTGGTCATCCTTATCACCTTTTTGATTTCTGACAAAGGGGGAGAAAGTAAAATAATTTTGATAATATTTATTCTCAGAATCTTAAACTCAAACATGTATAATGTTATTGCTGCTAACTGTTTGTTTGTTGTTTCAATATGGAAACTCTGAACAAGTTCGCCAAGTATTCTAAGACGGGTTGAAGTTGAAGATCCTGATGCTAAGGTTGAAAACCTTATGGATGAAATCAACTCTGATATCATATAGAAGAAGTTGTACACTTTGTGAATATATGAATATTCAAACAGATGTACCAAACAAAATTCAGAAGTTATAAACTTACTGAAAGTAAGATAATCTTGCTTTATATCATAGTGTTCAGAAGTTGTAACTTTCTAAAATATGGAATTTAGACTTAAAGCTTCAGAAGTTGTGTTCTCTTGAAAGGAAGACAAGTCAACATTTTGATGCATGCTCTCATTCAGAGATGCCACTGAGAAGTTGTGCTCTGATATGTTTGCTTATGCAATGTATGTTTATAGGGAAGTGTTACTTCTCTATCTCTATGTTCTGATAACTCAAAATTTATTTTGTGAATCTTGGGCTCAGGGGGAGACTCTGAACAAGCTTAAATGAAATTTTGAGATTAACAAATTCAGGGGGAGCTGTGAGCTTAACTCTCAATTTGTCGGTTATAATGATTAACCTGTATAAAATTTTCTATCAAAATACATGGTTTTGTTATCATAAAAAAAGGGAGATTGTAAGAATAAGAAGTGTTTCTACATATGGCCTTAAGATTTTGATGTTAACTTTACATGTTTTCAAAATTGAAGGACCTAGTCCTCTCCCTAAGAATTGATCTTGAGAGTTTCCAATAAACATTGAGAGCTTTTAGTAAGAAATACTCACAAACCCCCTTATGCAAGGAAATGATGGTTGACCTCCAACCAAATAATACAAGACAATGAATGTGAGCGTTTACATCTTTTCTTCTAGATAAATTTAGGAGTGAAATAGTCCGTCTTCCTTCCTAATGGTGGATTGAATCTACTAGTCCTCTTTCCACAAAAATGGATCTCAGAGCAGTCTTCAAGTTCCTAAACCTTACAAGCTTTTACACGGGATGAGCTCATAAACCTTAAACCTTAGTTTTACCTGAGATAGCCAATAACCTGTGAGATTTTAGCATCGGGTTGATCTCGAACCTACGAAGATTTTAATACTGGGTTGAGCTTCAATCTAATCTTGGTTTTAATACCAGACTGATCAAGAACGTATGAGGTTTTATCATAGGCTGGTCTCCAATTTAAACTAGGGTTTGATCACACAATCCCCAATCCAAAGTTTTTAACGAGTTTAACTTCTAACCCAAACAAATCCCTAAATGGATAATATTCAACCAATGTGTATATAAAAGATTCCTTTAATGAGTTTACAATTCTATCCTTTCTAGAATTATAAATATATCCTCACTCATAAAAAGACTTTTCTCACAAAAGCACTTAGGTTAAAGTATTAGTGAGAGAAAGTTAAATAAAACTTTATAGAGAGAGAGAGGTGTGTCAAAACACTTTTCTAAATGAAATGAAATGAGAAAAGATACTTCTATTTATTGGCTAGAAGTTGACTCAATTTCCCCCCAAATAAATGTATTTTATGACAATCTAATCGATTGACACATGTTTCCAACCGATTAGAAGTTTAAAATCTAAACGGATGTAAGTATAAAAAGGAAGGAAAATATATCTAATCGTTGCGCATCATTAAGGCGATGTCCTAATTGCTTAGGGCTTAATTTTGAGCTGATATAACCGATTGGGCAAATTCTCTAATCGATTAAGTAAGTCAAAAAATTCCCTATAACTATTTTGATTGCTCCCAATTCATCTGACACAACTTCAAGATGTTTTTGAAGATATTTTATTTTGGTGAAACCATTTAAAAATATTTTAGTGTGTTTGTGCTTTAGCCATGCACTTTTACGATAAAAGCTCTTATGTATTACATTTGTTTCACTTACTGCTAAATTAGGAGGTACCACAGTACTTCAAGACTTTGCCAAATGCTTTCTCTTTTGTGCACACTTGTTTGAGTAGTTTGAGATGAAGCTTTATGTTATATTCCATTTAATTGTCATCATCGGATAGTCAAGTCCATCATATAAGAAATTAGTTTTCATCATCATCAGTTGATGTCCTTATTAAAAGTATATCACATGTAAAACAAGGTTCCACATTTGCAACTTTCACCTCTAAATTGAAAATGCTTCTCCTTTTGATAAAATTACATTCTATATGTTTGGTCTTATTTCTGCGTAGGAGAAAGACATGTGCTTTTAAGGCTTGTCTCGACTCTCCAACCTCTCATTTATATATTCCTTCAACCCTTTAAGTAGAACTATATCATATATAAAAAATACATGTATCTCCATATTAGCTCTTTGATGTATTTCGTGAGTATATCTAAAATTAAAATAAAAAATCTGAAATTTACGATAAACCTTTGGGTGCAATTCTATTGTCATTGGAAAGTCATTTATTTCTCTAATTTGTGTTCGTATACTATTCGATACCCCTCATATATATCTTTAACACATAAAAGGTCAAAATAAAATTAAAAAAGATAAAGAATCAAAACAAATATCATTAAATAAAAGATAAAATGCTAAACATGTCTTGTGATCAAGTAAAGATTTATTTATAAATAAGTTACTCATTCAAATTTAAATATTCAAGTAACAACTCTTGTGTAAGGATGTCAATTAGGCATGGCAATGAGACAAAAAAAAGAATATTTTTACCTTCCTCAAACCTAAACTTGAATCCTCAAACAATCCCTGTTCTCCATCCCAAATCTAAACAGAAATGGAGAATTAAAACTTAAACTCGTCTCAAACGGATCCGGCTTGAGTTCGAGTATCCCCGTTCCACCACCATCCATTTAGTAAAATCAATTTTTGTAATAGAAATATTTATTTTTTTCAAAATCAAATTCATTATAAATAATAAAATAAAATAATCTCAAAAAATTTCATACACACATTTCAAATATTTTAAATAATAACTACACATCAAATTATTAAAACATTGACCACATATTTATACGAAGAGATTTTTCCCATCAACTTTGAAGCAGATTCGGGTGGATACCCATGAATAGGAGTTTTATTGTCATGCTAAATGTCAATTTCTTACCTGGAGGGTCTTTTGGAGAGAATGCCTCATTCAAAACTTGTAGGAGGATAAAAAAATATTCTTAGGATTGAGACAAACAGAGAAATTACTTTTTAATAGTTTGCTTTTATATGAAAAAATAATTTAAAGAAAAAAAGAAATATTAGTGACAATATAAGTTGTTTTTATACTGTTAATTAATCACAACAATATATTCAATTAAAATATATTTTTATTTTTAAAATATTAATATGACATGATAAATATATTATTTTAATTAATTATATATATAATATTGATTTACAGTGACATTACAGTATCATTAAACTCTAATTTAAAATAAAAATACACACATTACTCTTATTCCTAAAAGAAATAAAAATAAAAAGCGGAGTACTAATGTTTTGTTCGGACAGATATTACAAAATTGATTAATGTTTTGTTGGAAATTACGGTCATAAATCCAAACAAACTTCCTTACACACCAAAGTCAACAACTTCAACCCTATATTTTAGCGCCAAAATTCTCCATATTTATCACACTTATGAGTTTCACTTAAAAAAATTTAATAAACCCTTAAAATTGAATCTCCTGTTTTAAACCCCATACACCTCACACAAACCAACCAATCACCAAACCACACGTACACCTCATCCACGAGTACCGCGCGCAGCAGATAGTAATAAAACCTCTGTTATCTCATCGAAAAACGCCTTTTAATCCAACGGCTCAGAAACAAACGAAATCGATAGCTCTATGAATTTACACCGTTAGATGAGAACCTTCATCAGGAACCGCACGATGAGAGCCTTAACGAGATCTAACCGTTGATTATTTACAAAAAAATTGAAATTCAAAAGATTGTGAAAAAGAGGGAGTAGAAGAAGAAGAGAAGAAGAAGAAGAAGACGAAGCGTCTTTTCTTCTCTTCTGAAATTTTTGCAGAGAGATTCTTCTTTTTTCTTCTGTTTTCTGTGTTACTGTGTGGTTATTCAGATCGAATTGTTGAAGCAGTTCGTGTTTGATTTCGGAGATTCGTCTTCACAGTCCCGCGCGCCGTTTTTGGTTTATTTGTTTTCGATTTTGGATCTAAACCTTGTTTAATTTCAGCTTAGTTCGTTAATTGGAGTTGATTATTCGCTAATTGTTGTTGTTGATTGGGAAAATAATCGGTGAGTGAAGTGAAATTTTTTATTTTGAATTTTGTGTGTGATTTTTTGGGTGATCCAATGGGGGAAGGTGAGGGGAGTGATATCCCTCCTAAAAACGTACAGTTTGATTTGGTTTCGGCTTCGAATTCGAAGAAGCTTGCTAGGCAGCTCGATTTCAACACTTTTGGTGGGACTCCGGTAACTGCACCTTTGCCACCTTTGCCGGAACAATCGCAGCCTCCGGTGACACTGCCTCCTCTTCCTTCAGCCAAATTGGGGTGAGTCTTAGGATAAACTTATCGTTTTTTTATGTCATAGGTTGAAATTCTGAACTCAAAATTTTGTGTTTTGTTTATTATTTTGAATTTGAAATTATTAGGAATTTTTTAGTTTGTAATTATCTAATTCGTGTACTCGTTGTCATTGATTCTTTTTGTATTAATCTTTGTATAATTGCCTCGGATGGATGATTTTTAGTTATGTGGTGTAATGTGATATCCCCTTTTTATTGAAGAGATGGTTTAGTGTTTTATTTGGTTTTAGAAGCTTAAATTGGTTAGTAAATTGACTTGCCAATATGGTTTGTAGATTTAATTTTGTTTGAGATGCTTAAATTGGTTAGGAAATTGACTTGTCAATATGGTTTGTAGATTTTATTATAGTGGTTTTATTTTTCTGATTTCAGCTTTTTCAGCTGTTGAAAAATTAGATACATGTGATCAATAATTAATCTTATGTTTTGGTCAATTTAGTATATTTTGTTTTTTTTCCATTGAGGTTCTTGTTAATAGAGTAACTGTGAAGTGTGAGTTATTGGTTCAAATTTAATAATGGGTTTTTTTTGGACATTTTTCTTCTTCATAAAATGCCAACAGTGGTTTTCCTTTTTGAAGTCCTCAATTAATGTTTATCTGATTCAGGAAACCAGAATCTCCAAAATCAAAATCAAGACCCAACTCTGAGACAAAAGATGCTACTCCAAAGAAGCAAAAACAGTGCAATTGTAAACATTCAAAATGCTTAAAGCTGTGAGTAAAATCCTCTCTCACTTTCTCTCTGCACTTGTTCTTGCAATTTTGCTGCAACTTATTGGCTGCAATAAGAAGTTATGTGATGCTAACGTTCAAGTAACTTCTGCAGATATTGTGAATGTTTTGCATCGGGAATATATTGTGATGGTTGCAACTGTGTAAATTGTTTTAACAATGTTGACAATGAAGCTGCTAGACGAGAAGCTGTTGAAGCAACTTTAGAACGCAATCCAAATGCTTTTAGGCCGAAAATTGCTAGCAGCCCTCATGGAACACGTGATAACAGGGTATGCAGGCTTAACTTTTTGAAACAGCTGATGGTGTATGTCATGTTTTGATTTTTTTTCCTGAGGTCAGTTTGAGATATTGCATTCCTTAACTAGATCTGCTGTTGGACAGCATTGTCTATTATCTTTGACTACTATTGTTTTAGTTCAGTGAGGATTTTTGTGGAAAATAATATTCCTATAAGAATGGGTATGCACCCGAAGTTGGGCCTCTGATGGTATGAAATTATGATATTACAGGAGCCTGTTACTAAAATATCTTTAAAATCAAAATACATGACAAATAATATTTTCTGAAGCCCACCATTGATCTTGTGTTGAAAATTGTGCTGCTTTTTCCTTTTTGCTTGCTCCAAACATTTTTCATTTTATACTTCTATGAACTTCAAAATGAATGTAGGAGGAGGCAGGGGAAGTTTTAATATTAGCAAAGCACAACAAGGGGTGCCATTGTAAAAAATCTGGGTGCCTCAAGAAGTACTGTGAATGTTTTCAAGCCAACATTCTTTGTTCTGAAAATTGTAAATGCATGGATTGCAAAAACTTTGAAGGAAGTGAAGAGCGACAAGCTTTGTTCCATGGAGATCAAAACAATAATATGGCATTTATTCAGCAAGCAGCCAATGCTGCCATAACTGGAGCTATTGGCTCCTCTGGTTATTCATCACCACCAGTATCGAGGAAAAGAAAAGGTTCAGAACTCTGGCCGTCCGTCAAGGATCCATCTGTTAGCAAGCTGGGACAACAGGTAAAACTTGACAGTATTACAAGTAGTTCAGGGATTTATTTTAACTTGGAAATTGGCTAAAATGGGGAACTGGAATTGAGACATTAAGAGTGGGGAAGCTGGGTTCATTAGGAGTTGACAATTTCTCCCAGTTAAATTAAAAGATGCATTTAAACTTGATTTAGTATCTTCATTCAAATTTATATATGATATGGTCCTTCTGATTTGGTCCAATGTGTCCATTTCAACTCAAGCCCATGAGAGCCAGGTTGTCTCAACAAGCTATCCTATATTGGAGAGGAAGACCTCATTGCTTTGATAACTACAATATCAAGCTTCCATCTTTGCTCAATGTAGGATATAATGTTGTACACTCCTCCGAAAGCTTGAGTTTGCGATGACCCAATTTGATAACTACAATATCAAGCTTCCATCTTTGCTCAATGTAGGATATAATGTTGTACACTCATCCGAAAGCTTGAGTTTGTGATGACCCAATTTGGTTGCCCACTCAAAGTGGACTTCACTCTAAACCTCTTTTATGCAGGTTATGGGTTTAAGTTTCACATAGAATATACATTTCTTTTGGCTTCTCATTCTTTGGTTGTCAGCTTCTAATCTTATAATTGAATGAATCGAGAAAAGTCAAGTCTATGACTATGAGGCTGAAATGTGTGCTTCAGTACCATGATAATATTACTTCTAGTCTAAAATAGTTCATCCCAAAGCTAAATTGCTAGTTCACATAAGCTTTCTGCAGTTGACGCCGGAAGCTATTAAAGGCTTTTATATTTCTCAATTTATACTCACTAACATTGTGTTTTTATTTTTGTCATGCTTATCAGGCAAATGCTGTCAGAGGTCCTGGAGCACCCTCCTCATCCTTGTCTCCTGCCCCAGTTGCTCGTGTTGGACATGCATCATCAGGCCCTTCAAAATTTATGTACAGGTAGGACTGGTTAAATTCATGAAACGTTTACTTATATACTTGATTTAGACATTTAGTCATTACCTTGATTGCTGTTCAAGGTCTCTTTTAGCAGACATCATACAACCACAGCACCTGAAAGAGCTGTGCTCTGTTCTAGTGCTAGTAGCTGGACAAGCCACTAAAACACTTACAGGTACATAGACATTTTAAAATTTTCAATCATCAATTGTTTTATTTGTTTTAGAAATACGAACACAGTTGTGTGTTTTCTTTCAATCTTCTTTATGTGAATGTACTGGTATTAATTTGGAAAGGATTTTTCTCAGCTCCGCATATGTTCCCTGCATTTTCCCTTTCCAAACAAATCCCAAGAAATTTGATTAACTAAATTTAATGAGACACTGTATATTATGGTCAATTCCATGCCTTGCAAAATGAATTTTGTTTAATCACATTAGACAACATTATAAATTAACGCTCTAGACTGAATAGCATCATATCAGAATATAAGAAACCAAACAAAATTTTCAACCAGTGAGGCTAATGTTTATCCACCAATCTCAATGGAATGACAAATATAACAGGCAAGATAATTATCAAAGAAGGGGGATACAAGGTTGGTTTGGTGGCTGGGGTGGGGGAGTTGAGGATTGGAGTGATAAAGTCGAGGGTTTGATCTCCATTTTGATTTTGAACTAGAATTAATTCTAAGGTGCCTCAAAATGTTTGGTAGCTCTGCCCAGTTGGCAGTGTTATTTGCCATTAGATAACTGTCTAGTGAATTTGAGGTTAAGGATAGAGTAACCAAGATACCTCTTTAACTGTCTGAAACAGTTCATGAAACACTTGCAATCACGATCTGTTAGTTGATGTGTATTCTTTTGAAGTTTATGAGCTAGATCCTTCTATTTTTCAGTTAAATTGACGATTCCAATTGTTACCATTTCGATCTCCATTTTGATTTTGAACTAGAATTAATTCTAAGGTGCCTCAAAATGTTTGGTAGCTCTGCCCAGTTGGCAGTGTTATTTGCCATTAGATAACTGTCTAGTGAATTTGAGGTTAAGGATAGAGTAACCAAGATACCTCTTTAACTGTCTGAAACAGTTCATGAAACACTTGCAATCACGATCTGTTAGTTTATGTGTATTCTTTTGAAGTTTATGAGCTAGATCCTTCTATTTTTCAGTTAAATTGACGATTCCAATTGTTACCAACCAATATCAACTTTATTGGTGTATAATCTTTGTCTTTTCTCTCACCAATTATTGTTATTAATATGTGCAGACCAGAAAAATTTAATGGATAAGCACACAGAAGATCGGACAGAAACTTCTCTTGCTTCTTCAAATCAAGAGCAATTGCCAAATCAAAAGGAAGCTGATGTTGAGAAAGCTATGGCTGATGATTGTTCTAGTGCAAACCAAACTGATAAAACCAGTCCGGAAAACTCCAGTTCAGATGGTACTGATGCTTCAAAAGGGAGGCCAATGTCTCCTGGAACTCTAGCATTGATGTGTGATGAGCAAGATACAATGTTCATGACTGCGGCCCCCTCTATTGGGTCAATGCCCCATGCTTGCAACACATCTTCTCAATTGCCTCGTGGACAAGGAGCAACAGAGATCTATGCAGAGCAAGAAAGAATTGTATTGACGAAATTCAGAGATTTTCTTAATAGGGTTATCACTATGGGAGAAATAAATGGCAAGTGAATATTTTCCTCTTCTATAGTTATAGTTTTTCTCTACAAAAATTTCATAAGAACCTATTAATAGCATTTCAACTTTTGCAAAAAGATACCTTCAACTTTCAATTTAGTGAACTCTGATATCGAACACCAACTTATGAAAAATATTCATTTTGCATCATATATAGTGGTGGTTCTTATTTGCATATTTTTGCAGTACTTACCTTATTCTTTACACTTTAAAGTGCCTAATTTATATTCCTAATTTCAGAAACAAAGTGTTCTTCATTAGCCAGAAGTGAGTCAGAGATTCAAAAGGATCCAATCATCAATAGCACTTTAAATGCCAGGACTGCGGCAGCACATCAGCAGGGACGGGCCACCAGCAACAGTGTTGCCAAAGCTGTCAGCAACCCCACCACTTCAACATCATCTTTGGTCCCTTGTAGTCTTGTTTCGGAAAATGGGGAAATTAAGCCGAAGGTTGAAAAATAGATATAAAAGAAGGCTAACTTAGATGAGCAGAGATACTATTCGGAAGAAAATGAGAAGAATGTTGTGAAGGTGTGTTCTTTGTAATGGAAAAACAACGCCATTCTTCATTTTTTGGCTTTCCAGCAATTCAAGCCTACAGAACCATTAGTCTGACTGAGATCCATTTTCTTTTATCAATTTTGTTGTTCTAATTCATACATATATATACCTGAATTAATTATTCAGTTTCCAAATAGCCTGTAAATTACAGAGTTAATTAATTATTGTATTCATACAGAAAGAATTTTGCAGTTTGACCCGGGCACATTATATACTGTTCCATTTTTAATAGCTGAATTATGTCCAAAGATTTAGATTAGTTTTTCAAATAATATCATAAAGAGATTGGAAAACCAGTACATAAATTGTTTTACATTAACAATAAAAAAATTGTTCTATATTTGCATTGCCTATGATTCTTCTACCATTTAAGTACTTCAATTATAGATACTTATCATCATAAAAAAAAAAACTCTCGAAGGCTTTGCTTGATCCTCATAATACGTTATTATTATAAATGATTATGTTTAAAATTTGGTATTCAGGTCAAAGATATCCTAAAAGATGACAAAACACATTTTATTGAACTTGCACATAATAAACAATATGAACAATAAACACAGTGCAGAAAAGTAAAGAGCACAAGGAGTTGTTAATCCAGTTCGGTAGACACACCTACTCTAGGGGCTTCCAAATCAGGGATCAAGTTAATTTGATAGTATCAATTTGTAGACCCATAACAAACTTTTACCTATTTTACAATTTACTCACTTAATCACTACTTGTTCTTAACTTCTACCTAAGACTCACTTAAGTATGAGACCCTTCTCAAATCCCTTTCAATCACAGCCACAGTGATCGACCAATTCTAAACACTTAGAACAAACACTGAAGTCACACTTCAAAGACACACAACCATTTACAGTCTTTGAATGATTGATAGAACTTACAACTCAATAAAATAGTCCTACTCTTTTATCCACATGATAATTGAGAGACTCACAATAAGCACACAAATCCTAATATAAAAAAAATACAAAGTAAATTCCACACTAAACTAGGTTAGTGACATTCTATTTAAAGTCATCCTCTGGACTGGATTAGGCTTTTCAATCGCAGCAAATCAGCTGCTAAATCTCAGCAGAATCTTCTGCACACATAAGAGCATCCACATCCATCATACCCATTTGGGTTCTTTAAATGAGATCCACGTAATTTTTTATATTATTTCACACTTCTCAATTTTTTAAACAACCCATCTACAATTCTCAAATATCCACGTAACTCATCAAAAAATCTAAAATGAGTCCCACATTTAAAACAAATCAACTACATTTAACAATTTTTGAGAAAAAAAAAAGAATAAAAAGACCAAATAAAATTTAAGAAGCGTGCTTTAGTATGAGGACGTGTTTTAGTTCAGGAGCGTGAAAACAAGTGAAATATCCATTTATTATTGACACAATTTCTTTAATAAATGTGTAGAAACTCTCAAAAAACACCGATAATCATGCTCTAAGGGCTTCAATCATTAGTTTCCTAAATTTTCTCCTAATTTAGAAACTAATAATATTTCTTGTATTCAGCTAGAATCTTTTTCAATCTTTAGCTTGCGTGTCACATCACACTTCTCAATTTTTTATATTATTTCACACTTCTCAATTTTTTAAACAACTCATCTACAATTCTCAAATATCCATATAACTCATCAAAAAATCTAAAATGAGTCCCACATTTAAAACAAATCAACTACATTTAACAATTTTTGAGAAAAAAAAAGAATAAAAAGACCAAATAAAATTTAAGAAGCGTGCTTTAGTATGAGGACGTGTTTTAGTTCAGGAGCGTGAAACCAAATGAAATATCCATTTATTATTGACACAATTTCTTTAATAAATGTGTAGAAACTCTCAAAAAACACCGATAATCATGCTCTAAGGGCTTCAATCATTAGTTTCCTAAATTTTCTCCTAATTTAGAAACTAATAATATTTCTTGTATTCAGCTAGAATCTTTTTCAATCTTTAGCTTGCGCGTCACATGGGATATCAAAATATATCCAGAATGTTCTGCAACAGTAACAACTAAAAAATTTACTAATCCAGTTGTACAAAATCACAATTTCCTATACTTCTGATTGCGATATCTTATTCGACATGTTGCATCAGTTAATAGAACATCTTTATTCAACATATTTCTACTAAGTTCGTTTTACTAAACATAATGCCAACCAAAAAAATAGAGAATCAACAATGTTGCTCAAACTTTAAATTTTAAAAACGTAACAGACAGGGCAAGCTACAAAGAACTACACCATTCTTACCCCTCAAAAGAAAAGAAAAAACTACATCTTTAGAATACTGGGCAAAATAGGGGTTAATCACTTAATCCTAAACTTAGTGATTATATTACATTTGTGACCGCATTTCCCTTTTTGTTAGGGTCTAGAAAATCATCAAATATTCCAATTGAATTTGGTCTATCAGATCAGGGCCTATATTCATCGGCTTGAATGATATCCTCGAGAATTTTATTAATAACATTTCCTTTATCCTGGTTCTTGTTGATGTCGAATGACTTGTCGGATAATTTATTCTTGACATTTAATCTTGATTTCCAGTCAATCTTCCTCAACACTTTGTTGAATTGCTTTTTGTTCTTGCTGAACACCAAGGACAACTTCCCTACGAACCCAAAGGTTTCAGAGAAGGTCTTTAATGAACGAAATTGTTTTGTATATTATGTTAAGGGATTCGAAGGCTTACACAAGTGTGTGTGAGCTCCAAGCGACGCGTCTTGCTTACCCTCAGTCGAGAGCCCTATTTATAGAGGTGCATGGATCTCAATGATCACCGCATGTGACTGCCATGACTTTCCATATTACGTAACTCGGTTGCCTTTAAGGAAAATAATGCATAACGTCGACAATGATGGCTACTTCATAACGTGCGTCGTCGTATAATGATGAGCGGTTATGCCCTTAATTGGCCGACCATTGCGTAACGACTTCATTAAGGTCGAGCTCGGGGTAACCTCTGGATCCAGGGTATGAGCCCGAGTACTACCTCTTCATCTTCTCCCACGTCCGATTACATGATCCTCCGATCACACAACCCGGTTTAGGCCTTGTGGACTCGATCTAGGGTGGTAACCGGCTGATTGCCTACATGTTTTCCTTGGCCTAGCAACCACGCCTTGCCTTTTATCTCATCTAACCCGGACAATAGATTTATGTATGAACACTTTCCAAGAAGCACAACAACATTTGACACCCCTTATTTTGTATCCAAGTTATATTCATCTTTAGGATCGTTAGTGTTAGAGACAAAAGCTATGATTTTCTTCTTTTTCAGAATTTTCACTGATCCCTAACTCAAAAGTTTGTAAAGATCCCATTAGCTCGTCAACCTTCATGTTGTTAATGTTTCGCGCCTCTTCAATAGCAATGACCATCATGTCAAATCTTTTTGGAAGAGATCTGAGAATCTTCCTTATCAACTTGGCTTTTGACATCTTCTCCCCTAGGGCACCTGAGGTGTTGACTATTTCAATGATATTCAAGTGAGAGTCATGAATACTCTCATCCTCCTTTATTCTTAGATTCTCAAACTGAGTAGTAAGAATTTGGAGTCTTGACATCTTTACCTTGGTGGTTCCTTCATGAGTTGTCTTCAGAATCTCCCATGCTTCTTTGAAAATGGTGCAATTACAGATTAGCCTGGAGATATTCTTGTCTACTCCATTGAATAGGACATTCAATGCGTTGGAGTTCCCTAAGGATGATTCTTCCTCTTTGTCATCCCAATCTTCTTCAGCCTTCACAACATCAGTAGCTTTTCCATCAATACCTACAACCATGGGTGGATCTCACCCTTTAACCACGACTTTTCAAGCCTTGTTATTCACAGATTTGATAAAAGCCACCATTCTCACTTTCCAATTGTCATAGTTGGTTCCATCAAGGATGGGTGACCTGTTCAAAAATCCTCATTCCTTGTCAATCATACCAGAAATTAACTTCCCTAAATCTCACCCAGAATCAGAGCAGGATGTCTGCTCTGATACCAATTGAAATTATGGTATTCAAATCAAAGATGTCCTAAAGATGTCGAGACACCTTTTACTAAACTTGCACACAATTAACAATATGAACGATAAACACGGTGCAGAAAAGTAAAGAATACAAAGAGTTTTTAACCCAGTTCGGTGGACACGCACCTACTCTGGGAGCTTCCAAGTCAAGGATAAGTTAACTTGATAGTATCAATTTGTAAACCCACAACAAACTCTCACCCAGTTTACAATCTACTCATTTAATCACTACTTGTTTTTAACTTCTACCTAGGACTCACTTAAGTATGAGACCCTTCTCAAATCCCTTTCAATCACAGTGGTCAACTAATTCTAAACACTTCGAATAAACATTGAAGTCACACTTCAAAGACATACAATCATTCACTGCTTCAAAACTTTGGAATGATTGACAGAACTTACAACTCAATAAAATAATCCTACTCTTTTATCAATATGATAATCGAGAGACTCACAATAAGCACACAAACCCTAATATAAAAAATACAAAGTAAGTTCCACAATAAACTAGGTTAGGGACATTCTATTTAAAGTCATCCTCTAGACTGAATTGAGTTTTTCAATCGCAGCAAATCAGCTGCTAAATCTCAGCATAATCTTCTACACACATTAGGATTTCAATCATTAGCTTCCTAAATTTTCTCCTAATTTAAAAACTAATAATATTCCTTATATTCAGCTAAAATCTTTTTCAATCTTCAGCTTGCGCGTCACATGGGATATTAAAATATATCCAGAATATTCTGCATCAATAACAACTAAAAAATTTACTAATCCAACTGTACAAAATCACGATTTCCTATACTTCTGATTGGGACATCTATTCGACATGTTGCATCAGTTGATATAACATCTTCATTCAACATATTTCTACTAGATTCATTTTACCAAACATAATGTCAATCTTAAAAATAGAGAATGAACAATGTTACTCAAACTTTAAATTTTAAAAACGTAACACATGGCAAACTACAAAGAACTACACCATTCTTACCCCTCAAAAGAAAGAAAAAACTACATCTTTAGAATACAGGGTCAAAAATAGGGGTTAATCACTTGATCCTAAACTTAGTGATTATATTACATTTGTGACAGCATTTCCCTTTTTGTTAGGGTCTAGAAAATCGTCAAATATTCCAGCTGAATTTGGTCTATCAGATCGGAGCCTATATTCATCGGCTTGAATGATATCCTCGAGAATTTTATTAATAACATTTCCTTTAACCTGCATTCATTGAAAGATAACAAATAACTAAGAATTAGAAAAGAAAAAAAAAAGATGAAACCAAAATAGCTTTGATAAAATAATCACTTCTTTTTGTAATTTCATAAGAGCATTTTCAACAACAAACGGTTAAAAACCAAACAAAATATAAATCTTATGTGAGGCTAGAACCTTACCTTAATGCCAATAGCAATGGCAGTTTTTAATTTAACAATTTCACCTAATCTCAAAGAACCTTCTTTATTATCCTTAACAAAGATCAGGGGCACACTCCTTGATGCAGCCAAACTTTGCAGATGCTTTGTTAGCCAACGCGGGTTACAGTCAGAAGCTACAAGCACAGCCTGCATCATATGATAAAGTGTGAATATTTTCTCTTCAAGAGTTACTATAAAATAAAGCCACACGCCGACACCAGAAGGGCGATATATACTTTAACCGAAGATTTACATTTTCTACATGGCAGAATTGAGGAAATCAACCTGAAGTTTAACTGAAGATGTTTTATGATTGCTTGTGATTGAAGGGAGGAGTTGAGCCGACCTTTCAAACTCAGCACACGGTTTCATACGCTCAAGGACGCGAGTTACGTCATTGACCCCTATAGCAAATTGTTGCTGCAAATGAGCCACACAAATGTTATATGGCAATGCAAGATTCATACAAATTACTAAATTCATTAATATGTTTTTTACTTCGGAAAATCAAGTTGTCGTTAACCTTAATCCATATCTTTTCTGGCAAGGAACTTCCATCTAAATGTCTTGCAGATTCAATTCCCCTGCTCATCAGAATAACCACTTGCAAGATCAGGTGAGAAATTGCACAAGTTATTGATCACTTACAAAAACTAAACGAGATTAAAGATGACATCATTACGGCCTCTCCAAATAGTCCAGACTACAACATGACAAATCATAACAAAACCGCCCCTAGTATTGGCCCTAGCACCTAAAGAAAGGAAATACTCAAAAAAGTTTATGGTCACTAAGAAGAAACCACCTATCAACCCAACCATTAGAAGATAATCTAACAATAACCAAACATAAACAATTTTCTGTTTAACTCAGTTTCATCCAGAATCAATCTAAATAACCAAACAAATGACAAGTATTTTACCTAAGGATTGACTGAAGCAGATTGGTTAGAGTTTCTCCTTCATAGCAACTGCAGAAAGCAACAAAGATTAAAATAATGAACTTTACTTAAAAATAAGGCTGATTATAAACAGGAGCCAAAATTCACAGATAAAACATACAAATCGAAATGAATGCATAGATATAAAGAAAAAGGGAGAAGGGGGCAGTGTATACTTAGTTTCTAGGGTGGTTGAGTTTGAATTGTTCCCGTGTTTCTTTGGAGTTTTGGAATTACTTGTACTACCCATTCTCTACTCTCAAATTTTCAATTCACTTGTATGAACAAAAACAAAATAGAACAAGAAAAAGCGAGAATGAGCGAGTAGTTTGATATTTATACGTACGATTCAAACTTCGTTCTTGCGTTTTGCAGCGTTACTATATAGTACTCCTATGGTATGGATTTGGGCTTTCCAAGATTTTCAACGATCCGGGAAATGGAATTTCGACAATTTTCACTGTCACCTCCCAAATTAAACATTTACTTTCGACAACCCTTAAAAGTGCAAAATATCTGGTAACAAAATTATACTATTTTATTGGATTTTAAAAAAAATTGTTACGAGTTTTAATCGGATTTTTTAAAAATATTTATTTTTATTTTTGAAAAATTGTATGTTTTATTTTCATATTTTGTTTTAAACTTGTTCAATATTTAATAGGTTTTCAGTATCTCTAATATTGATAATTGACTATGTGTTGTATTCTAAAATTTGTCCTCTCATTTATCAAGAAGTTTGCTCACAAGATCTCCTTTGGCTCAAGACTACACTAGGGTTGATCAGCTCAAGACACCTCCTTAAACACTGATGACTAAAATTAGGGTTTGAGATTGCACAAGGATATTTGAACTTCCAATGCCCCATATGACTTTCATGGATCATTATGGACCCTCAAGGTTACTCATGACAACACTAGGGTTTGAGCAGTTGACCTAAAAATTAGTTGTATTGGGAAAAAAGTCAACTGTGGCCAATTTACAGTCAAACTTCATAATTTTTGATCCACATCAACATTTTAAACTCATATGTATCATTTGACCAAGTTTGGACCATAATTCCTCAAGAAATTTGATCAAATCTTCAAAAGGGCAAAATGGTCAAAATTAGGGTTTTGATTGGGAAAGGGCAATTTCTGATTTTTGACCTAGCAAATGATAAATTGGTTTAAGGCATGATCTCAAGAGTCCAATTGCATCATTTTGACCTAATGACATGGCTCAAAACATTGCTCAAGTCCAATGGATTGACAGATGAATTTTCAGTCAATTGATCAAAAGTCAACTATATACTAAAAAGTCAAACTTTGATTTTTTGGTCAAAATCAAATGCCAAAGATCACAATTCATCAAAGCATGTAAAAATATGAAACGTATTCATCAAGAAATAAAAAATTCAAGATTTCATTTTGAAAATTTAAAATTTCTAAACTTAGAAATTTTTCCAAGTGTTGGAAATTTCTTATTTTTTTCCACAACTTTGAGCAAAATTTTCACCATGATGCAAGATGATTCAAAAGAAACTTTCAACATGAAATTTGTAGATCTCCATGAAATCTACAACTTTTCTTCACACAACTCCTTCTAAAAGTGTTTGGATCTCAAGTTATAATTTTAAGAATACATGGTCATGAAATAAAACACTTAGTGAAATTTTTGCCCTAATTTGGTCAGGATTTTGACCCAACTTCATGGCACTTTTTCATATAGTTCCAATAGGAATCTTTAAAAGTGATTCAAATATGGACTGTAGAGAACATCACAAGCTTTCCAAAATGTCCAAGAACTCCTTGAGATCATTTTTGAGTAGGGACAATCGAAGAGATGAAGTTAGGGTTTTCACACTTGAATTACAAGTCATTTTGTGATGAACAAGATTCAAAATTCAAACTTATGCTGCATAAATTCTACTTTGCAGGCCTCAAACTTGTTAGACACTCCATAATTAATTGCTTGCACAACCGTTAGAGGTCTCATTTCAAGCATTCAATGCAAGGCCATGCTTTATATCCATTTTGAGAAGAAAGTGCACATTGCCATTTTGATAAAGTGACTTTTTGCACAAAATTTGTTCTCGAGCCTTGCAATTGCTTTCTTCTGATCATACAAGTCTCATAACTCAAGAGAAACTTGTTAGACACTTACAATCACTCAGCCCATGCTTGTACCTCTTCTTGAAACTTGTTTTCCCACTTTTCTTCAAAATCAAGTAACCTAGCAATTAGCTTGTAACTTGTACTTCTGACTTTCAAAAGCACTCAAACCTCTTTGCTTATACATACACAAGTCATTTACCACAAATTCCACGCATGCTTAAGCCCTGAAAATACCAAGAACACATAATCACTAAAAACACTTCAAAACTTGTCATTTTTGAGTTTTGAAGTCAATCTCTAAATTTGCTCGTGCGTTTCTTGGCCTTTTACTTTCATAAGCTTATAAACAACATATACAAACAATCCCAACACTTGCAGCACCACTGTAACACCTCCATCATCATCCACCATTTTCAAAAACAACACCTTGCACCTTGACTTCTCCATAACTCCTCAGACACTTTCAGCTCAAGTTAAGCATCACATTAGCTTCCTGTGAACTTGAGGAAGCTAACCCAATCATTGGAACTCACTGAAAGCTTCTCAAACTCCAAAAACGATACCCTCTTGCAAGATAAGTTTTCTGACTTTTGAACTCTTCATACAAGCATTATTAATGGTTTATTTGTGAATGAAAAATGTAGATATCATTGCCCTGAAGCTAACCATGTCTATAGTTTTCATTAATTTTGCTTGAGCTTAGAGAATTTAAAGATTGAAGTTTTTGAGATTTTTAGGGTTCAGATTAGGGCCATTAAAATTCATGCTTATCTTTGATCTATAATTTTATTGCTTTGCCTTTCTGAAATCGTGAGGAAATTTGCTACAAGTTTCATATTTACAGTTTTCATTTTTGTTGAGATTTAAATAAGATACATAGGCTCTGGTTGGGCGTGAGGTTGAAGATGAGGTTCAGGCCATGGACTTGTTTACAATCATATATTTATTGTTTTGATTATATAAACGAATGTATATCCATTCTAGTGGTAGAAGCGCGCGCCTGTGACTAGAGGGACCTGGGTTCGAGCCCCAGTGGTACCCTTTTGGATTTTTCATATTTTTTCACATTCTGACTTTTCTTTTTTTGGCAGCGCTGAGCCTCATTCTTTGGGCTTTATGTTTTTTATTTATTTCTCACCCCCTGTTTCACTTACACAACCTTTGTCCCATTTTATTTTCTATTTTTCTTATTTCATTTATTTATTTTCTTTTAATATATTTTACTTAATACAAAAATCATAAAAAAATAAATACATTTAGGCTTTTATTTAATTAAATTAATTTTTTACATAAAAATAAATTTATTTTAATCACCTTTTATTTTATCTTTGATAATTAATTTGTAAATTAATTAGAAGTTAAGGTTTTGATTATTATTTTCACACATTAAAAACATTTTCTTAAAACAAATTAATTTCTTTTCTCAAAATAAATTAACATTAGAACCAAGTTTATTTTCTTTTATTAAAAATTAACTTAGAACCTAGGTTTTCTTTTAATTAACTAATTTTTATACTAGTTTAATTTAATTAAAACTTTTTCACAAACAAAACTTCTTTTCTTTAATAATTTAATTTTATTAACTTAATTTTAATTTTCTTATTTTAGTTAATTATTTTTTTTAAAGTTAATTAGGTCAAAACTATTTTTCTTAACAAAATCCAAACAAAATTCATTCCTTATCCATTCATACTTGTACATTATATTCATTTAATTTCTTGTACATTTATCCAAATTCAATATGGTTATAATATATAAATAGACTTTATTTTCTTGCAGTCCCCATTTATAATTTGTACACCCCCTCCCACGAGTATTGTAATAGCGTAGTAATTTTAAATTCCACAATTTACCGCTTTATATACAAAATGCTAGTAATTAGGGTTTGTATGGAAAGACTAAAACCAATCAATTAGAAAATCATAATCAAAGACAAAACCAAGCATGAAAAACAATACACTTGCACACAAGCACCCATAGGGTAAATCCACTTGGTTGCCTTACTAAATGGCCATATTACGCATGTGAGGTATCTTTGCAAAAACAAGCAAAGTATAAAATCATAGTCCCTCGATGACGCTATCTGTGATCGGTGGATCTGGAACTGACTGTTTAACGCTGGTTCGCGAAATGTTGCGGAAGCAAGAGTCGCCACCGTCTTTTATTTTCTCCAAATGGAAAGGACAAAAGCACAGAAAAATTCCTTATAGAGATTGTTCTCGGTTCGGGAGGTAGGTTATAGAAAGGGAAGGTGTTAGCACCCTTTCTATCCATGGTTATCCATGGGCTCTTAGATACTTGCTCACTTGTGTTTTCAAAAATGTTTTGTTTGCTTTTCAACTGTGGGTTTTAAAAAGTTTCTTTGAAAATTTCAGTTCGACTCTTGTATCAGTCCTCAAGAGTGTTTGAAAAATTGCATTCGAAAACTTTTTGAAAAGGTGCCGGTGTGAAAAGTATTTTTGATTTGTTTTTGAAATTAGAGCAAGTATCTAGAGTCGTCTACCTACCCTAAGGAATTCGTCTGTGTAAATGTCCTTAAAGTAGTGCCATCCCACCATTGAGAGGTAGGTAGCACCATCGTTGGAGGTGTTCGGGTCAATTCGAAGTTCGGGACATGGTGATCACCAGAGCAATAGGAAGATACTTTAGAAGCTACCCTCATGCCAGGTTCCCGGATCATGAGGACTTACTAAAACATCCTCTACTCGACGATCACCTTTTGAGGGGCAAGGCAACAGTGAGGCGTACCCTAGGGGTGGTGTGTGATTTGTGTGTCGTTTTCAGATATTTTGTCTTGTTCATGTCATGGGTGATCTACGCTTTTGTTTTTATTTTAACATTAATTCTTGCATGCAATTTATTAGCAGTTAAAAAGTTGCGAGAAATATAAAGTTCCTAAACTATTACAAAGGCGCGGGTCCACATCGCCAAATTAAATCCAGGACCCGATTTGAAATAAGATAAAGTAAAGTGCGAGAAATATAAATATCGAATTTACATGGCTTTGGGAGAATTACATAAAAAGAGAAAATAAAATAAGCGCACGAATTGGAATTAATAATCGAAAGCGAGGGCGTTGGACCCTTTTTAATGAAATTAAATTATGATTAGCAAATTAATTAAATTAAATGAGAAAGGAGATTATTTTTTAGTT